CCAAGACTGTGGTAATTTGTTATAGTAGCCACAGGAAGCTAATACAAGGTTTCAGGGTTGATGAAATGTTCCAGAATTAGATAGTGGTAAAAACTGTACAATTTTGTGAAGTATACTAAAAATCATTCAATTCTGCATTCTACAGAGTGAATTGTATAGTATGTGAATTATATCTCAATTAAAGAAAAAAATGCCTAGTGATAGGCTGGTGTGACCTCCCCCTCCCCCACCATCCTAACAACTGATAACTAAATCTTCAAAGCCCCTAGACTGCATTCACGTAACAAGAGTTAGGTAATTAGAATTACAGTAACAATGCAAACTAATCCAGCCCACAAAGAGAGTTAAACTAGTATCATGTAGTCAATTTACAAATTTGTAGAATTTGTAGTGGGAGACATATGTTCCTAGGGATGGATGGGTATCTTTTTGTAGAGTGGACATTACTCTGATACTAGGTTGAAACATCAACTTAATTTTTATTAGGACTGCTAAAAATCCTGATTTGACCAGGACAATCCAGTTTGACCTGTTGCCCCTGTGTATTTTTTAACAGTATCACTTTTCACTCTTAATAATACCTTGATTTCAGGGCATCCGGGTGGCTCAGTCAGTTAAGCATCTGAACCTTGATTTCAACTCAGGTTATGATCTCAGGGTTGTGAGATCAAGCCCCATGTTGGTCTCCACGAAGCAGGGAGTGTGCTTATTTTCTCTCTTCTTCCGCCATTAAAAAAATGATTTTGGTGGTAAATGAGTCAACATACTTGTAAGGAATCTTGAAGTTGTGAAACTGGTGAGAGCATAGGCTATGCATGCTAGATGTTCCCTGTCATGAATCTCTAGGTAACAAATATCTCCCTGCTACTGGAAAGCTCCCAAAGAAAAAAATCCTAGTAAGACTTTCACAAAGCAACCATATTTTCTTTTCAAAAATATACAATATTAATGCTTAAGCTGAACTCTCAGATCTCTACTATTCAGTGTTACTCAAATGACCAATTTATACATTTAAAGGAATGAATAAGGAATGCACCTAAGAATTCTTGTGGTTGACAAGTATAAGGAACTTACAAAGGACAGCTTAAAATAACTTGTACCAATTTTTTAAATTTTTATTTTATTATTTCAGTGGTACCCAATTTTTTTAAGTGTTATGAAATCAAAAGCTGAAAGTAACTTTTTTTTTTGTTTTCATATCAAATTGACCCTAACATAATAATGCTGTGTTAAAACTCCTGAGTGCAAAAAAAGGAAAAGAGGGGAATCTCTCTCCTTCTCTTTCTTTCTTCCTTTTCTTTCTTTCTCTCTATCTTTCTTTCTTTTAAGAAATTAGGGAAAAATTGTTACTCTATGGAAAGATCATCATAAGAAGTTCTATGGGTGGTCAGACATATAATGTTGGTAATGTTCTGATGTTCACTATTTTGGATGAACTACAACTATAAAACATACTAAATTAGTAAAATTAGAACATATCCCTGTCCAAAAAAGACTGAGAAACAAATAAATGACACAGGAGCATAATGATAAGGAACTGTATAGTTCTGACAGTCTCCTAACCCTAACCCCTAACAAAGAAAAAGGGAGGGAGAAGTATCAAGATAATGTTTATAAGGAATTTGAGTATTAGGAAGTATCTGGTGAGTTTACCATATGCCAGGTACTGATCTAGGTACCAGAGATACAGTAGTGATTGAAACAAAGACCCCTTCTTCAGGGAGCTGACACTGCAATAGAGGTAACTGAAAAATACATTAAAAAAATATACACCAATCTTTAAAAAAAAAAAAAAATAAAAAAATAAAAAATAAAAAAAAAATAAAATATACACCATAATGTTACTGCATGCAATATTATAGTATCACATAGCACATATTTCAAATATGTACTAATGTAATATAAATCATATAAAATATTTTATATTATTATATGTGTGTATACATATATATATAATTTCAAATGGTCATAAATGCTATAGAGAAAATAAAGGAGGCAATGGCCAGGTAGTATGGAGGCAGGCTGATATTTGTATGGCATGGTTATAGAGATCGGGGGAAAAATTCTCCAGCTGAAGGAAGAACAAATACAAAGGCTCTGAGACTTACCAAAGTTAAGGACTGGTCAAGAGGTTAATGTAGACAAACCAGTGGACAGGGAGAGAAACTGGAGAAGAATCAAAGAATGAGTTTGCTGTAGTACATTAATGTAGTCCATTCTAAGTTCTTTGGTTTTACTCTGGGTATGATAGTTCACTGGGAATTCTGAGTGAGGGGTTACATGATCTTTCATGTCAAAAGGACCACTCTGGCTACTATGAGAAGAAAGAAAACTTTAGAATAATAACTGGAAGCAGGAAGGCAAGTTTAGAGTATTATAATTACTAAAATTATTAATAACTTATTCATAATAATTTCATTAATAATGATTTTATAATAAAAGATTATACTAATACAAGACTGGGATGATGAGAAGGGGTCAAAGTCTTTTTTTTTTTTTAAGATTTTATTTACTTATTTGATAGACAGAGATTACAAGTAGTCAAAGAGGCAGGCAGGGAGAGAGGAGTAAGCAGGCTTCCCGCTGAGCAGAGAGCCTGATGTGGGGCTCGATCCCAGGACCCTGAGACCATGACCTGAGCTAAAGGCAGAGGCTTTAACCCACTGAGCCACCCAGGCGCCCCGGGGGTCAAATTCTATATTAAAACCTTGAAGGTCCACAAGATTTGTTAATAGATAGGAATTGGGATGTGAGGAAGAGGATGACACATAGAACGGGTGATGCTGAGCAAGTAAACATGAAACCAGAACTCAGGGAAAGACCTGGGTTAAGTACACAAATTTTGGAGTCTTTGGCATGTAATGTTATTTAAAACACAAGACTGCCTGAGGTCATCTAGGGAAAGAGGTTTGATATCCAAGTCCTGGGGCATTGCATTGGTCAGAGGTCAGAAACATGAGAAGAAACCAGAAAAGGATAGAAAGAAGGAAGAGTTACTTAGAACCAGCTGGGGTCAGGGGTAGGAGAGTAAAAGAAGAGAGAAAAAGCACGTTGTAATCCAAATGAAAAATTATTTTCAGGGAAGAGGAAATTAATGACTCTGATAAATACTGCAATAGATCACATAAATTAATAACTAACAATTCAGGATGCCTGGGTGGCTCAGTCGGTTAAGCATCTGCCTTCGGCTCAGGTCATTATCTTGAGGTCCTGGGATCGAGTCCTGCAACAGGCTCCCTGCTCAGAGGGGATTCTCCTTCTCTCTCTCCTGTGATCTCTCTCACTGTAACTCAAATAAATAAATAAAATCTTAAAAAAAAAAATAAATAACAATTGACCATTTCATTAAGTACTGTGAAATTCACTGGAGTTCTTGACAAGAGTGGATTTAAAGGAGAACGGGAGAACTTGAGGAAGCAAACATGGACAACTCTGAAGAAATTTTCCTCTAATGAGAAGCAGACATGAAATAAAATAAGCAGAAGGGGGATGTGCAATTAAAAGATGGCTTTTTAATGAAAGGTAACATTACAATCAGTCTGTTTGCTGATTAGAATGATCCAGAGAAACTGAAAACTTAATCCAGGACGAAAAGGAGACTTGCTGGAACAACATTCCTGAATAAACAAAAGCTATTTGGATTTAATATACCAGGGGAGGCTTTGCCCTTAGCCTGGAGCCAAATAATTCACTCATAAAAACAGAACAATATGGAGAAGAGTTGGAATGGTGGATTAACGGGTATGGTTGCTAGCCTCCAACATGGCCCCAAATGAATCTTGCCTCCTGGTATTCACACTCTTGTGTAGTCCTCTCCCACAATATCACAGGGTTAGCCTATCTGATGAAGCAAATACAGAAGTAATGGTATGTAACTTCTGAAAAAGACTCTGCACTTCATCCTGAGACCAAGCTCTCTCTTTAATCACTCGCTCTGAGGGAAGCCAGCTACCGTGACAGGAGCAGCCCCATGGAGAGGGCCACAGAGTGAAGAACTGAGGACTGTGCTAACGGTCAAGTGAGCAAGCTCAGACACTTCATCCAATAAAACCCAAGTCTTCAGTAACTGCCAATCCTGTCAAAAGCTTCACTATAAACTCATAAGCTACCCTGAGCCAGAATCAGCCAGCTAGAATATGACAGTGAAATAAACATTTCTTAGGTCATTACGTTTGAGACAATGTGTTACACAGCAATAGATAACTAACTATATAATGGGTCTTACCATGCTATATACACAAGTTATTGGGCATATAACTTACTTATTGTTTTGCCTCCTGGCATGAAATGAATTTATACGGCTTCCCCTACCCAATCACATTCAATTACTTCATGAAATAAAGCTCTTAAAAGGTTGTAGAAATGAACAACTAACCCTATGTGAGCATTTTTAACCAACACACATTTACCCTGAATGAACCACTTTAATACTTTAATACATGAGCTTAAATCTTAGGTATGTGTATCTGCCCATTTTAGCCTACTACTGCCATTGTAAAAGAAGTCAGTTTTACACAGCTTAAAATGTATGGTCCTCTCATGTTCTTTAGAGAGCAGGTGAAAGAATGCCACCCTCCCGGGCGCCTGGGTGGCTCAGTGGGTTAAGCCGCTGCCTTCGCCTCAGGTCATGATCTCAGGGTCCTGGGATCGAGTCCCACATCGGGCTCTCTGCTCAGCAGGGAGCCTGTTTCCCTCTCTCTCTCTCTCTGCCTGCCTCTCCATCTACTTGTGATCTCTCTCTGTCAAATAAATAAATAAAATCTTAAAAAAAAATTAAAAAAAAAAAAAAAGAATGCCACCCTCCCTGTTTTTAAGGAAGCAATATAGAGAGGTCCAGAATTACCTAAATCAGTGATTGGCTTGAATTTATCAGACATATTCAGGTCATACACACTTCAGGAAACACTGTCTAAATACTAGTATTTTAACACGGGAGAAAATAAGAAAAAACTGAAGAAAAATGATACAGTCTTGGTCCTTATAAAGACCTCTCATCTTACCTCAGGTGTGCAGTGAAACTTCTAAGAACTTAAGATTTTCCAGGCAGGAGAAGGTCACATCCTTGAGGCAACCATAGAGGAGGATTAGGGTTACTTACACGTTACAGGAATGTTTTATATCCCACTGCCTACCTGTTATTGCCATCTGCATGTTCATCAAGCGTCTCACTTAACCAGAAGAGAACTGGAGTCCCTTCCCCCACACCTGTTCCTCCTATCTACCCTCCCTCAGTAAAGAAAACACTATGCCTGCCAACTGCCCAGTTCCAAAGCCTGGAAACCACCCCGGGGCCTGGCTGTCAGGAGGACTTCATCAGGGTGTAAGAGTCTGAAATAGAGCCCAGGCAGAGATACTGCAAACGAGAAAAATTAACAAGGCCCTGAGGTAGGGGAGAGGGAGCAATAAATGAATTTACAAACGCTTAAATCGCCTTAAAGGCTCTGGGCCAACAGACGTCCCGAACAGGGAGGAGGAGGCTGGCTGGGGACGTTTAAATGCCTTAAGTTCCACAAGAGACCCCAGTGGGCCGGGGGAGGGGAAGGTATTAAGAGCCTGGGCAGGCCCCTCCTCCAGGAGGCCCAGGCTGGGCCCAGGCTTGGGGGATGGGGACGGCCAGCCTAGGGTGGGGGAGGAGATGTTGCCCGAAAGGCGCCTGCTGAGACCGGGGAAGGGGGTGTGCGTGAAGGGAGTCTCAGGACCCGCCAAGAACCCCTTACCCGACACACTTCGGAGTGCGCAGCAACAGGCACAGGCCGCTCGGGCAGAACCAGACCAGGAGCCGTGTGGCCCGCGGGACTGCGGCCGCGGAATCCCTCCCATCTCTCCTCTGGGAACACTACGGCCACGCCGCACCACGCCCCCGTCCTTACCGTCCTCCCCGCGGTCCGCACCAGATCCTGAGCTGCACCGCCCCAAGGCGCTCCCCAGGCAAAGCCGGAGGGGACGACGCCTCCTCAGGCCCCAGGCGCCGCCGACGCCGCCGCCTCTCCACGCGCGCCCGCTGCGATCTGTGATTGGCTGCCAGGTGCGGGCCCAAGGCCGGCGCGGCTCGGGGTGCTGTAATCTGATTGGCGGCGAGGCGGGTCCGGCGTCTGCGCGCGCTCTGGCGCCCCTGGTGGCTATCCCTGGGCGCGGGATCAGGCTGAGAGGGGTGAGAGTGGCAGCGATGACCCTCAGTCCCTGGAAGAGTCTTGGGAGGTCAAGGTTGCAGAGCAGACCAGGGTTCAAGGATAAAGACAGGCTCCCAATCCATCAGGGGATAAATTTGTCCACCTGGAGCTTAACTTTCATAATCCTGAGGTGTGTCCCTTTTTCATAAAAGCACTAGCTGCCGACCCCATGTTTAAAGAAACATGACGGTGCAACTTGGTCTTGACGCCCATACTCTTGACGTTACATCTGGTCAAGCCATACAAAAATAGCCTGGCACCCATTTGTTTTTATAGCTTGCAGCGACTTAAGAATGAACTTTATATTTGTTAATGCCTGGAGAAAACCACAAAGAGACTATTATTTTGTAACGTGAAAATTATATAAAAGTTAATTTCAGTGTTCATAAATATTTATTGAACACAGACATACCCATTCCTTTAGGTATTGTCTATGGCTGCTTTCCCCTTAAAACAACAGTTGATTAATTGTCATAAATCATATTCAAAAGCCTAAAATATTTACTATCTGGCCCTCTACAGATTTTTTTAACAGATTTTTTTTTAATTGCCATTTCTGCCGGAAGTCTGCCTACTTTAGCAGTGTTTTGAAAAGGGAAAAAAAAGCTTTTGGGCTTTTTAATCTGTAATGTGATTTTCATCTCTAGCCCATTTATATTTTCTACTCTACTTTCTTATTAACTCTATAGGTTCTGTTGTTCCTCTTTACAATATTTTATAAAGTTTTTTTTTTTTTCTTAATTGTAGTGTAGTTGACATACAATGTTATATTAGTTTCAGGTGTACAATGTAATAATATGACATTCTATACCTTAAGCAGTAATCACCATGATACATGTAGTTACTATCTGTCCTATCTGTCTCCATACAAAGTTAACTGCTTTACAATGCTTTGAGATGAATGTCTAGGTGGTTTATTTGTAAACTTACAGTTATTTCTCTTGTATATGATGCTATAAATTTACCTTCGTTTACTTAAGTATCAATTTAACTGTATCCTACAGATTTTGTTTCATAGTATGCTCATTATCACTCAATTTCAAGTACGTCTTAATTTCCCTAGTAATTCTCTTTTTAACACAAGGGTTACATAGTAATATGGTATTTATTTTCCAAATCTGTGGGATTTTAAAAAGCAATTCATTTATGAATTTCTCATCTTGTTGCATTGTGGTCAGATCACACAGTCTAAATATTATTGCTCCTTTGCTTTTGAGGATTTCTGTTCAGTTAAGTATACCGTAGACAAAGTGAAGAGGATGTAGATAGAAAGTATTTTCTATGTCTAAAATGTGTATTTGGGAAATGACCCCCCCTTAAGATCTCAAAATTACTTCAATATCCTTCATTAAGTCACTATGAATTATGCTTCAGGCTTTATTCAAATCTCACTAGATTTTCTACTAAAGTCTTTTTTCTGTTCCAGATTCCCATACAGGATACTGCACTGCACTAGTCATAGTGTCTCCTTAGCCTACTCAGGTCTGTGACAGTTTGTTACTTGTTTATCATACAGTTTACTTGTTTATCATGACCTTGACAATTTTAAGGAGTCCTTGGGGTCAGCTATTTTGGAGAAAGTCTCAATATGGGTTCAATGTTTTCCTTACAGTTACACTGGGGATATAGGTTTTTAGAATTATAACACAGAGGTGATATGTTCTTATCACTTCCCATCAGGAATACAGGCTATCACTATGACTTAACCACTAATTTCTCCACTGTAAAGTTAATTTTTTCTCCTTTCCATATTCTACCCTTTGGAGGCAAGTCCCTAAATCTAGCCCACCCTCAGGAAAGGACATGTAGTCTCATGGAGGGGAGAGTGTCTATGGAATACACAAATTATTAGGAGTACGGAAATTATTTGGACTTCATGTATAAGGAAGATTTGTTTACCCTACCTTTAAATTTAGTGTTAAATTAATCAAAATTAAATAAATTAAAAATCCAATACATCAGTCATATTACCTACTTTTCAATGACTCAGCAGTCACTTGTAGCGTATTGGACAGAGCAGATATAGAACATTTTCATCACTACAAAAATTTCTATTGACAGTACTGATTTATTTTATTTTTTCAAGATTTTATTTATTTATTTGACAGAGGGAGAGAGCAGCAGAGGGAGAGGAGAAGCAGACTCCCTGCTGAGCAGGGAGCCCAGTGTAACACTTGATCTCAGGACCCCAGGGTCATGACCTGAGCTGAAGGCAGACATTTAACCAACTGAGCCACCCAGGCAGCCTCGACACCACTGATTTAGATCATTATTTTGTTGACCTTTCTTCTCCTTCTCTTCCTTCCTCTTCTTCATTGAGGAACAACTAACATAGTCCTTAGATTAGTTTCAGGTGTAATACATAAATTATTCAATATTTGAATATTTGTATATATTGTGAAATGATCACAATAAGTCTGGTGAACATCGATCTATCACCAAACATAGTTACAAATTATTTTTTCTTGTGATGAGAACGTTTAAGATTTATTCTCTTAGCAACTTTCAAATATGCAATATGGTATTATTAACTATAGTTACCATGGTGTACATTACCTCCCAATGACGTATTTTATAACTGGAAGTTTGAACCTCTGGATCCCCTTCACCCATTTTGCCCACCCCAACCCTTATTCTAATCAAATACATGAACTTTAAATATGAATTCCTTCTAACTACTATAGGTCCATCTTATAATGAGCATAAGAGCAGTATGCAAGAGGTTTGTGAAAGTGCAAGAATGGACCTTTACCCTTTAGGCTCCTGGTTTCCTACACCCTAGTCCCAGTCCTGTTCTTAATTATATTGCTTAATTTCTAGACTTCGGGTTTTTTTCTGAATTATCTTTCTGTTACTGATTTCTAGCTCAATTCCCCCAAAGTCATTGGATAGTTACAAACAGCCTTACAGCTAACACCATGATTAATGATGAACTATTGTATGTGAGTCTAAGAACAAGACAAAGATGACCATTATAACCACTACAATTCAACAAAGCACCTGAATACCCACGACAACTTTGAACAACAATGCTGTAGAGCTTAAATTCCCAGGTATTTGTATTAGTCAGTGTTCTCCAGAAAGAATCAATAGGATAAAAAAACAGAGATACGGGGTTTATGCAATTTTGGAGACTAAGATGTCCCCCAGGAATGCTAGTGGCATAATTCAGTCTTAGTCTGCAGGCTCAAGAACCAGGAGCTCTGATGTCCAAAGGCAGGAGAGATGGATGTCCCATCTCAAGAAAGGAGAGGGAAATTTTTCTTTTCCATAGCTTTTGTTCTCTTAGGGCTGTCAATGGATTGTATTGGGTAAGGCTCACCCAGGTTGCTGAGGGTTTATCTTGCTCATTCAGTCTGTTGATTCAAATGCTAATCCCTAAATGCAAAAGGCAAACAGTTAAACTTCTAGAAGAAAATTTACGAGGAATATGTTTACATCCTTGGTAGACAATAATTTCTTAAATGTGATGCACCATGAAGCACCAACCCTAATGCACATATATACACCCATGAAACCACCATCCAGATCAAGATGTGGGACATTTCCAGTGCCCCAGGAATTCCCTCATGCACGTCTCAATTGATAGTCTAATTAAAAAAAAAAAAAAAAAGATGGACACCAGGTGGTATAGTCAGTTGGGCATCTGACTCTTCGTTTCAGCTCAGGTCATGATCTTAGGGTCCTGGGATTGAGCCTGGAGTCTGGCTTCATGTTCGATGCAGAATCTGCTTGAGATTCTCTCTCTCTCTGCCCCTCCCACTCCTGCTCTCTTTTTCTCACTCTAAAATAAGAAATAAATAAATAAATAAATAAGACAAGACTTGAATATGCACTTAATAAAAGAGGGTGTTATTCAAGTGGCCAATGATCATATGACCAACAACAACAAAAAAAAATTCTCCAGATCATTACTCATCAGGGAAATGTAGATGAAAACAACAATATCATAACACTACAACTTCAAGAAAAAGGGACTAATGGAAACAATTGACAATTGACAATACCAAGTACTGTATCTGCAGCACTGAAATTCTCAATATTGTTGGTGGAAATGAAAATTATTTCAATTTATAATAATTTTTTTAATTATTATAACTTATAATAATTATTTAAAATAATTTCAAATTATTTCAATCACTCTGAAAAGGTGTTTAGCACCTTAGCTAAATCAATGTAGTTCTGGAACTTCTCATTAGTATATATATATATTCTAGAGAAATGACTACATATGTCTACCAAAAGACATGCACCAACTCATGGCAGCTTTGTTCTGAAGAACAAAAGAATCAGCCTCAAAGCCCATCAGGAGTAAATTGGACATACACAGCTCTACCATATGCATTCAATGGGATTCTACCCAGCAATGAAAAAGAACGTCCTATGCCTGCATACAGCAAGAATGCATGCATTCCACTTATTTAAAGAAAGACAAAGACAAAAATCTGTTGTGTGATCCCATTTACTTATAGCTTAAAAACAGGAAAAAAAAAAAGAATCTTTGGAAGTAGAGGTCAGAATAGTGGTTACTTTGCAGGGAAAGTTTGGCTGGGAAGCAGCATAAGGAAGCTTTCTAAGTTGCCTCTTGACAGTAGGGACCTGAAGAATTGTCACCATAAAACCTGACTCTCACTGACTATTATCATCCACAGCCATGATGTACAGATGCCCTAGCCTCAATTCTGCCTTTCAGCATCCTTGGAGGTGGACAAAACAGAAGTTGAGCTATAATGCTAGCTGTGGTAACATCTGGAATACCTAGAGTTCATGGCAATCCTCTTTTCAGATTTTACAGGTGACAGCTAGAGGT